TGACACTGAGCTACTGAACACACGGCAGCCCAGCACACTGACACTGAGCTACTGAACACGCAGCAGCCCAGTACACTGACACCCAGCTACTGAACACACTGCAACACAGCACATTGACACTGAGCTACTGAACACACTTCAGCCCAGCACACTGACTCTGAGCTACTGAACACACTGCAGCCCAGCACACTGATACTGAGTTAGTAAACACACAGCAGCTCTGTACCCTAACACTGAGCTACTGAACACACTTCAGCCCAGCACTCTACTGAGCTGTTGTGTACACTGCCTCCCAGAATTCCGAGTAACTGAGCACTCTGAGCAGTCCAGCACTGTGATTTTCTAATGTCCCTACCTAAACACACTGTAGCTAGATGTGTACATCAGCCACAGTGAGTTGCTGAACACACTGCAGCCCAGCACTCCTGACACTGAGTTGCTATATTTGTCTGAGCTGTCTGTGCCAAAATTCCAGATCTCTTGCCCTTTGATGGAAAGTCAGTCTGCAAATCTGAATCGTTTTCTTGAGTTTCCCTCCTTAAGTGTAGCTCTGCTAACAGCCCACACAAGGAGTCTGACACTCAGAAGAGGAGCTGTTGCATTGTGTGTGTGTGTGTGTTTCTTTCTTTGTTTTCCTTGCTAGGCTGGCACTGCTAAAGCTGTGGTTGTGCTTTAGCAGATCAGCCCAAACAGCAAACGTGTTGCATGTGTGTGCTGTACCACACTCACGTGCATCCATGATCACTGAGCAGCAGTGTCTGGAAGTGTGCAGTGGAGGAGTGTGGTCTGAGACCTGTGGAGCTCACTCCCACAGTCACAAGAAGAGACGGTACCCCAGTGGGCACCGAGGGTACACCCTACAGACGGGCGCCAGCAGAACCATTCACCATGACACTGCTCAGGACAGTACTTCAAGGTAGTGTCTTTTCAAACAGGTCAGCCTAACTTTTCAAAGTCCCATCCACCCAGAAAAGCAGGGCCACTCTTTCAGCTGCTAAACCCCCATAGCACCGTTCGGCACTACAGCTACAGCTCTCTGATGAAGGAGTGCTCAGTGAAACGTGAGCTCTCTGTGACACACGAGTGTAGTTAATAGTAATAACACTGATTACGCTCGGTGACCTACAGTGCGCCAACCTTCTGTGAGCTGCACTGTGAACTTGTGTGGCCGATGGCATCTTCACACCATCACACAGATGCTTGTTAAACCCAGGGATTGAAGCTCGAGTCCCAGACCTGCGGTCGATGCCTTCTGTTCTGCTGTTATTCAGATAATTGTAGTGACTAAGTGTTCTTCGCTATGCTGGCTAATTGGATCGGTGTGCCTATTGATTCCAGCGTAGTTTTCCTCTGCTTTGTTGTCGGAAGCAACTGACAGGTGTGTTGTTTTTTTAGAATATCATTTTTTTGCCCTCTCTCTCTGCCTCCCTCTCTCTCTCTCCCTTGCCAGCTCTGATGCATTTCAAATGGGCTGTGAAATGAGTGATATTAATAATAATTATATGTCTCCTCTCCTTACGAAATAATAGAGGTTTTGTGGCTCACCATTCACTGAGCCTGCTGTGAGAGCAGTTCTCCACAGCTCAGAGCATTCAGACGGCTGTTCCTCCATTACCCCAAACACACAATAACAGTTATATACAGTACATACTCACAATAACACTAACAGCAGCTCTGACGCACAACGCACTCGGACAATAACACAAACACCAACAAATTCTCCCATACACACAATAACAGAGACACACAGTCTCGCGATAACACGCACTCGCATGCTGCCTTTGCATAGAAACTGGTTTCAGTCACAAATCCAGGTTCCCTTCTGGGTTGGTGTGGATTACCCTGCTCGAGCGGCCTCAGAGCTCTGCTTTTCTAATGCCCTAGAGGGGTGGATGACAGGATATGAAATGAGAGGCCATTCGTCTGACCCATCAGTTGCTCTTTGAGTAGTTCATTGACCTGAGGATGTTATTCAGTCCCTTCTCGTCATATCCCATGGAATGTCAACAGCATGGGAGGGCAGCCTGTTCCAGACACCCACAACGCTTTGTGTACAGAAGCACCTCCTGTTTTCAGTCCTGTTCTGCATAGACCCGGGCCCTGAATTTCCTTAAATTGCCCCTCCCTGTAACACCCAGGACTGGCCATCCAACAGTTAATGGGAGTGTCCTCTAAATCCTGATTCTTACAGACTAGTACAGGCTGTATAGATGCATTTTATCTACTTGTTATTTTCTTCCAAGACGCTAGCAGGCTTGAAGTGTTGGCACCTGGTGCGGACACAGATCTGTCTGCTGGCTGGGTGTGTTTGTTTCCACGGGGCTCCCTGGCCTGTGCTGAACCAGAGCTGTTCCTCTCTCCACAGTCCCCATCGACTCCACGGCCGGCATCAAGATGCTCTACGTGTTCGTGGACATCCAGATCGACACGCCACACTTCCTGGACACTGTGCGCTTCAACTTCCCCCGGGGTTCCAGCCTGGCGCTCGTCAGCACCATCCAGTTCGTGGCCGCTCTGCAGGTGACCTCTCGCCTCTGACCTCTCACCTTTCTGTCTCCACTTCATCGAGAGCCGCAAAATGATTTAGTGCTTTGAAGCCTTTTCAGGTTTTGTTTTACGACCGCATCGATCCGCTTAAAACACACAGCGAAGTCTTACTACGGTATTCCTGCAGTGGACGTGTGTTTACACACCTGTGTGACGGCTCTCCTGGTATTCAGATGTCTGCTTACGTTTCAGAAGCGCAGGACTGTGTGGGATAAAGACTGCAACTAAAACTAAAGTTTAATCTTGAGTTGTTTTCCTTTGCTGGATGCTTTTTATGTAACTTCTTTTATTTTTATTAATATCATTATTTTCCTTTGTCTCCGCGCTCCCTGTGCTATTTTTTGCCGCCGCTCGCTGACTCACGCGTGTGAGGAGGCTGTGGGTGCGCGCGTCTTCTCTCCCCGAGGCAGGGCATTCTGGGAGTCGGTGTTCTCACATGGCGGGTGGGCGGAGATGGGAAGCCGGGGAGGGGGCGAGGGGGGTCAGAGGGTCGCCCCCTGGAGATCTCCTCAATTGGCCGTCTTGTGCAACGACCACGAGCAACCCCCCCCCCCCGCCGCCCATCTTTCTGGGAACAGCACCAGGTTCTCTTCTTCGCTGTTGCCAGCGCTGGTTAATTTCTCTGCGAGCAGCCAGGAACAGCTAGCGAGTGAGGGCTCTTTAACTCCGTGGGGTAACAGGCAGTCCGGCGGTAGTAAACTGAAGCGGCTGTTTGATTACAGCCGCCAGTCACCCACTCCAGAGTCTCCTTCGGCAGGACCTTCACAGAGGGGGCCCAGGAAAGCAGGGTCTCACTCCTGTTTCAGAGCACTCTGAACCGCTGCGGGTCTCCTGGGCTGTGGGCTTGTTGGTTTTGTACGGCTTCCTCGCCGTGAGGTGTCCAGGACCTGGTGCTGGCTTCTCTGCAAGCAGAGTAAAACCCGAAACGGCTCAGGCTGCCGCTCAGTGGGAGTTGGGTGTAGGGCACAGCGGCCCGAGATCTGAGGAGGTGTTTTTCCTGAGCCCATCTGTTTGTATTCTGCTCTTTGATTTGTGGGTGGAGCTGTGCTGAAAGGGCCTGAGTGCCTTCGGTGTGTTGGAGGAGCTCCAGGCTCAGAGAGAGGGGAGAGAGATCACTTTATTGGCCATATACAGTTTCTGGCATTAGTATTTTGTCTTTTCACACACCCCAGCTTGCTCTCCATGAGACACACAGACAGGGAGAGAAGCTGGGGGTCAGAGCACAGGGTCAGCCATTTATACGGCGCCCCTGGAGCAGTTAGGGTGAAGGGCCTTGCTCAGGGGCCCAATGGAGTAGGATTCCTCTGCCGGCCACAGGATTTGAACTGGCAACCTCCCAGCCACAGGCGCAGATCCTGAGCCACAGAGACACCGCTCCGCCCCAGAAGCAACCCAAACCAGGCAGGAGTCAAACCTCCTGATCCATAGTCAGACGTGTTATCCATTGCGCCACTGGAGCTGGGAGGGAGTGAGGGAGAGGTTGAAGAAGATGAGCGAGGGCGAAGGGGAGGGGATGAGGAAGAGGGGTACAAAAGTCCAAACTCCTAATTACCTACGCCCAGACTTAAACACAGGAAGTAAGCTAGATGGGATACGCTGAAGCATTACCGGTGTGAAAGACGTTCCGCAGGCTGTCAGGACTGCTGCACCTGACCCAGTACAGCCCGGTGACCGTAACCTGGCCATGAAGGAGGGCCGCACAACACGTCCGTACTGGACAGGCAGGCCGCCAGATGGCAGCTCGGGCAAATCAGGACAGTGATGTACTTCCTAACAGTCTCCTCCACACCGAAAACCTCCTTCCCAAAAAGATCACTGCAGATCCTTCCCAGCCCTTCTGTTCCATCCCAGCCGCCCAGTGGCCTCTCCCAGTGAGACCAGTGAGGGTGAGAGGTGGGACATGGGCTGGGGTGTGTGGGAGACAGGCAGGGAGGCAGGTCGTCCCCAGTGATCTGCAGGGAGGACGTAGGGGTGGTTGGACATGACTGACAAGCGGGGTTGTGGTGAGGCATGGGGGAGGGGGAGTAACCGAATTCCAGTCTGCCTGAGCCCATCGTTAGCGTTTTTAATTAGTCCGCCCATGGCCGGTGTTTGAAGCTGGAGGAATGGGATTGTGCTCCCAGCTGTGTGTTGGAATAATGAGTCGCGCACTTCAAAACAACAAAGAATCTGCTTTCATTTTGCACGTCCTCGTTAAGGCTCGGAGGATAATTTGGCTAACGAGGGCAAGGTCTTCGGTCTTCCAGCTGAGGGGGTCTGCACTCGAGCTGCTGGAAGTGGGGGTGACATTTACACAGGTCCCTCGGTCAACTCGTAATGCACTGTCCAGCGGACACCTGGACTGCACAGGTGAGTTTTGTCTTAACTGGACACGGGAGTGATGAGGAGTCTTTCTCTCTTCTCCCAGTCTGCGAGCTCAGAGCTGCGCCCTGACTACGACGTGGTGGTGCCCCAGTGTCGCCCCCTGTCGCCGGGGGAGATCCTGGGCTGTACCTCCCCCCGGCTGGAGCGTCCCGTCAGCGCGATCCTGTGAGTGCCCCCGTCTCCTGATCTCTCTCCCTTCTGTGTCTCTGGCTCCTCGCGGTTTTTGGCCGTGCTCTTGTCATCTCCCTTCCTGCTCTTCCTCCCGACTTCACCGTCCTCTGCCTCGCTCACTCATCTCTCGTGTCCGTGCCGTCTCTCTGTCATTCCCCGTCACACCTCTCCCATTTTATCATCGATTCACTTGCCTGATATCTTTAACACCAATCCACCAGACCATTTGGGGGGCGAAAGGGGGCGTTGCCCCCTCACCTGAACAGCCCCGCCCCCTCAACTAAACTGCCCCGCCCCCTCAGTTTTGGCCAATAGAATTTGTGAACACTTGCACCCTAAAAAAATGTTGCACTTTGTCAATGGTCAGATAACTACACTCACCCCGCATTCCCAGTTACTGTATCAGTTTGATGTGCTGGAGGGCTATCTGCCCAGGACCGGCACCTATTACACAGTGTCTACGTTACTGGGTGTTGACAATATTACGATCTTGTTTGCTCAGGTGGATCGATTCCTTGCAGTAGTTTATCCTTATACTTACAATCGTTATATAACTAGGACTGTAGTTATAGAAGTTCGTGCTTTCTGTTGGTTTTACACCTATTTTTTCTTAATGATACCTTGTTACCGTCAATGTAGCTGCACAAATGAGCGGACATGGTATTGTGTTGCTCCAGGTAAGAATAATAGTGAGAGGGGTGATGAACGTGAAACTGTGCTTCATCGCTCAATACCAGATGGCTCACCATTGTCTTCTGTCATGAAGCACTAGTCAGTGGCATGGTGGCGAGATTTCACTTGGGTAGTTGCAATGGCTCAGTTTCAACCGAGATATCGCCTCCCCCCTCAGAATTTCAGACGCCCCCTGGCGCCGGCCCTGCCATCCACTATCCCAGAATCCCAGGGCACAAGCATGAGTACCCAGCAGCTCACTGGGGGGGAGTACTTAAAGCCAGCCTACCTGGGACGATGGGAGGAAACTGGAGGAGCATGCAGACTCCGCACAGAGCATTACCTGGGCAGGAATCAGTCCAGTCCAGAGCCAGAGCAGTGAGCCAGCGGTACTGGGGTGATTTCTGGAATCCAACACGCGCCGCGCGCCTCCTCGAAATTAACATCTTTCACAATTATCCTGCCATTTCCGGACGGCTCCCATCCTGGCAGAGCTGTCCTGAATTTCTCAGCCAGACGGAGTCTGGGGGGGGGTCCTCGGCCAGGAGAAGGGAAGGAGACGGGGTGGTGGAGTGGGTGGTGGCTCTGTCTCTCCATCTGTCTGTCGGTCCCTGAGAGGCGTGGCTCTCCTGCAGTCAACACCTCGCCCGTCCCCCCGCCCCCCCGCCTGTCTCCCCTGTGAGAACAGTCACCCGTGATGGATGACTCAGAGGCCCTGCAGTTAAATTCCACCGGTTTCCCGAGTCATTAAGGCAGGTGATTAATTAGGTGCTGTCGCTGGAACCAGAACCCAAAAGTCCCTCAGTACCTGTTGCAGGGGGGCACAGTCTGGGGCGCACGCTCCTGGGTGTGGGAGGCTGGCGCCGCGTCTTTCCCCGCCAGCGGAGCGGAGCTGGTGCTGGGGATCTCCCGCCGCCGGAGTGCGAGTTCTAAATAACACCAGGCTTTAAAGCCGTCAGCCGAGTGTTTTAAATAAAAGCCTGTTTTAGTGAGATTTATTTAATGAAAGTGTGCTGCTGCGCTCTCCCTCAGGTGCTGTAGCGATTCGCTGTGTCATAACTCACCCAGGAACTGCACTTTACACAGACTAACACACACACTTTCTCACAATCTTACACAGCATCTCACACACGCACACACCCTCTCATCTCATAAACACACTTTCGCACTGTTTCACACTCTCTCATCACATACACACACGAACACACACACTTTCACACTGTTACACACTCTCTCATCACATACACACACTTACACACACACACTCTCACTGTTACACACCTTCTCATCACATACACACACTAACGCACACACACTCTCACACTGTCACACACCCTCTCATCACATACACACAATAACGCACACACACTTTCACACTGTTACACACCCTCTCATCACATATACACTTACACACACACAGTCTTACTGTTACACACCTTCTCATCACATACACACACTCTCACACTGTTACACACCCTCTCATCACATACACACACTAACGAACATACACTCTCACACTGTTACACACCCTCTCATCACATACACACACTCACACTGTTACACACTTTCTCATCACATACACACACTAACGCACACACACTTTCACAGACCCTCTCATCACATACACACACTAACGCACACACACTTTCACAGACCCTCTCGTCACATACGCACACTAACGCACACACACTGTCTCACGCTGTCTTACAAACTCTCTCACTCACACACACACCGTTTTATACTCTATTACAAACCCTCTCACTCGCACACACACTAACACACAGTCTCGCACTCACACACCAGTGACCAGTGCTTGCTCTGCTGTTGTTTCTAGTGTGTGCTCCTTCTTTGGTCAAACTCTGCTCTGTCCCAGGACACCTGCCTTCACACAGTCGGTCAGTCAGAGGTCCTTGGCTTCCCCTGTGGTCACCCCGGCGTGGTCAGTGGACGGTGTGGCCGCTCGGCTTGTGCACTGCTCTGAGCTCGAGTGGGAAACACAGTGTTTGGCGAAGCCACGTTTTGAACTTGGGAAGAAAGCAGTGAGTGAACAGTGAGCCTGTTTGTCCACAGCGCCCGGCCTGCAGGCCCTTCCACTGAGCCCCAGAGCCCCAGCAGAGCCCCGGCCTGATTCTGAGCCATCAGCCCTCCTGCTGCACTTCGGCAGGGCTGGCACGTCTCCAGCCTGCTCTGTGACCTCCACCCATGGCTGTTCTGATGAACTCATTGTCTTAATGAGCCCTACACTGTCCTGCAGGGCTCCTCGCCGTGATTCAGTTTTTTGCGGTCCTGGGGCCTCGAATCGAGCGGCTCCTTCTCTTCGGCCGCCGTAACAGAGCTTGATAGAAATGCCGGGAGCGACCCACGGAGATGATAGCATAATCACAGCAGCGGGGTCAGACGGCGGCACCCGGGTGATTGGAGTCCAGTCCCTTGGGGCCCAGAGCAGCGCTCCAGCACAGTCAGGCAGACGCGCTCGATGTGATCCGGCCATTTTAATCACATTTGAATAGTTAAGAATCGCCGGGACTGGGAAGCCTAAGTGGCCGGCTGTTATACTAAACTGAGAGCAGGACGTTTAAGAAAGACGCAGCTGTATTTCTGGTCTCCCGGAGAGAGCTGAACAGCACGGACCCAGGAGGGGAGCAGGCAGGTTGCAGGGGAAGGTGGGTACAGACTCGAGCACCCCGAGTCTCGGGAGGTGGCGTGAACAGCAGAGCCCCAAGAGGTGACTCAGCACCGGCGGTGGGGGAGAACCCAAAGTCGCTCCCCAGTTTTAAAAACCTCATCTGGCCACACGGAGGGGTGGGTAAGGGAGTCATGTGCTCAAATTGCATTACGAAGCAGTTCTTACAGTGTTACCTTTCTCCTGCTGTTCATCCAGTGCATGGTGAGCCTTGGGGGGCTGTGTTCTCTAAAGTGCGTTTGCGTTGTGCATTGCTGTTAATTTCGATCTGGACTGCAAATAGCAAATATGGTTTTGATGAAACAGATTTTTGTCGAATTTTTGAAAATTTGCCACAGGTGGCCTGATTTCTGTTAGTGCTGGTAAATACCAGGACCGGCATCTGGAAAATCCATCCATCACCCACGGGGTACCCTGGTTGGCACTTCCATTCATCACACACACGCCCCCGAACACTGGAGCACCCATTGGCAACATGCAGACTCCACACAGAATGGTGTTCGAATCGCACCCACGACCAGAACTGTGACGCCACTCATTTGGAAAATCCTTGGGCTCGTTTTTCTTGTTCATCAAAGCTGTGTTTTCCACATGTACGGGATGCCTTGTTTTGATCTGCAGGCATTATTTAAAAGCTTGTGATGGGATAAAGGGGACGGCATCAGACAGCCAGGCTCCCCGATGGGATTAGAAGGGTTGGGTAAGTGGGACCATCTCGAATGCCCTCATGCTGCAGGGCAGAGGTAGACAACTGCTGGAATTAAGGGTGAAGAGGGGGCGACTCACAGGGGGGTGTTAGTCTGCTGCAGGAGAATCCCCCCCCCCCAGTCCCCCACTCAGGGGTGGGATACAGGCAGCGCCAAACTCCCAGGGGAGGTTGCGGTGTGAGAGAAGGCCGACAGATTAACAAGGCAGACTTTGATGAGGGCTGGCTGGGGAGGGTATCGATCCCACTTTCATCACAGCAAGGCGCCGGGCCCTGGGCTCCCCCCCCGGTGCCGTGGCTACCAGCTCCCACAGGCTGGGTCTGGGTCGAGTCAGGGTCGCGGCCTTTGCTGTGCTTGAGCACCCTCCTTTTTATGCTTGGCGTTTTTGCGTGCCTGTTCGAGCGGCGTATTTCAATAGGTGTGGGTTCTGCACGCTCACGCAAACCCACCTTTGGGCTTGTGTCTTCCTCAGGCCCGGAACACTCTTTTACAGAGCGCAAACGCAGGGAGAGTGACAGCGCTGTCGAGCTCTGTCTCTATTTATATCTCCGGCAGAAATCTGCAGCTCATTTGCAGGTCCTCAGATCGCTGCGCCTCGCTGTGGCGCGGTGCGGCGCATTTGCCGGCTCCCAGGCCTGCAGGAAGGAGCGGAGCCGAGTTCCCTCTCCAGCAGGCTGCGGTGAAATCTGGATTGAATTTTCTGCCACTCGGACGCAGCCCAGCAGGTCTCTTCACTCTCTGCTCCAGGCTTACATTAAATTTCCTCGCACTCAAATCCCCAGTTGTCTCCTCTTCAATATAAAATCGCTGCCTCTCCTGACTGACACTCCTGTTAGCTGTCCAAAACAGAAAAAAATCTCATCACCTTGCTCTGTGGCAGAGGGAATGCGCTTCTGTTTGGTCAGAAAGCCAGTGGAAGCAGTGTACCAGCATACCCTACTCCCTGCACTCAATTAGCTTTGGAATTGGAAACCTCCACAGTGGAGATTGCCTGGAGTGTGCATGTTCCCTGGCTGTAGGTGGACATGAATGAACTAGCGCAGTGTGGCAGCATCTGTCTGCCCTAGTCATACCGCAGGCAGTGAGGGTTTAAGTCTAATATGGCCAGCCTTCCTCAAGGAGGGTGCCAGGGGGACACATCACTTACTCCAGCCCAAGCCCCTTAATAGCCTGGCAATTGTGCAGATCCCTCTTCCTGTGATTTATAGTGTCAATATAATGCAGACAATATGGACGTTCAAAGATCTATAAATTTTAATTAAGCCCTGACAGCCCTGCCTGACGGGCTCCAAGCTCCCATCCATCGCCGGTCGCTCAGCGTTCGGTTGTCATGGTGAACCTGCAGAGCGTCGGGCTCAGCGTCTCGGGATCCCAGGAGAGGGGTGAAGTCTGGGGCGCCTGTGCGGGGGTCTCGCCCCTGCCTGTCCCGCGCAGATCAAAGCTCTGCAGGAAGCCGCTGGTCTGCCTGTCTGTTCCGAGGGCTGATCTATTATGCATTCAGCTGGGCAGGCAAGCAGATTGTTCTGCAGCTCCTTGGAACAATAACAAGTCAGTCCCAGTGTGAAGGGAGGTAGACAATAGGTTCAGCATGTGGAGCTCTCCCTGCCCCGTCTGTTGCCCTGCTGGGGTAATTAAAGTCCAACTGTACCCTTCTGGGGTCCCATCAGTGCGGCTGCGCCCTCAGACCCCAGCTGTACCCTTCTGGGGTCCCATCAGTGTACAGTAGCTGCACCCTCAGACCACGTCTGTACCCTTCTGGGGTCCCATCAGTGTGGCTGTGCCCTCAGGCCCCAGCTGTACCCTTCTGGGGTCCCATCAGTGTGGCTGCACCCTCAGACCC